CAGCCAAGTGCTTAAGCAGTGTGCCTCACTACAGTAAGACCCTCTTCTGGGTCTCCTATTCTACTTCTTTCCTGTTCCACTTGCAGTCATATGGGCCAGCCATTCAAGACCCTTCAGACCCTTACGTCTCCTGCTTCATCTCACCTACTTCTCCCACAATACCTTGCACTTCCACCAGGCAGACCCCATTCCACACACACATTGTGTGCTTTGGGCACCTTGTTGGCCCGTTGTCAAAGTGTCCCCTTTTCCTTGTCCTCCTGTTGAGTCTCTATCTTCCTTCTGTGCTAGGGAAAAAGACCTCAGCCTCAAAAATATTCTAGAGACCCTTTTGCCAAGTCTTAAACTGGATAAAGACAGTCACTCAGATGTGGGAGACCCTCAGCCTGTGCCCAGTTCAGAGGCCGATGGAATACACTGAATCAAAGTCATGGTGTTCATTCAGGACAAAGAAAATCCTCAAAGGGTCATGATTAGAGACAGATTAACTCATCAGTGTCACAGATGGGACTACAGAAGCAGGCGAAAGACGATGACTTGGATACGTATATAACTGCTTCTTTAAGAAAAGGTTACAGGGTCTGCTGAGGAGCTCTGGTGGTGTAGTGTCTAAGGCATCTGACTGCTAACCAGAAGGTTGGCAGTTCAAACCCACCAGCCACTCCACGGAAGGAAGACTGGGCAATCTACTTCTGTAGAGATACTGCCTCGGAAACCCAAGGAGGGGTCGCTATGAGTTGGGACCAACTCAAGTTGTGAGTTGGCAGTGAGTTTTGAGTTTTTAATGGGTTAAATATATACATGAGTAATGGAGACCTGGTGGCACAAAGGTTAAGCGCTTGGCTTAACCCTGGTAGTGCAAAAGGTTGGCGGTTCGAACCTACCAGCCACTCCATGGGAGAAAGATGTGGAAATCTGCTTCCATACGGATCACAGCCTTGGAAAACCCATGGGGCAATTGTACTTTCAGGGTTTTATAGGGTCTCTATGAATCAGAATTGACTCCGGGACACACAAGAGCGACAACAACATTCCTGGATGACGTAATGGTTGCGCACTCAGGTACTATCTGAAAGGTTGGCCGTTCAGACTCACGCCCCCAAGAGATGCCTTGGAGAAGGGCCTGGAGATCTGGTTTCCCAAGGTCACAGCCATGAAAACCCAACAGAACACAGTTCTACTCTGCACACACGGGATTGCCATGTGTTAAAACCAACCCACAGCCGTTACCGGCACAGAACACAGAACACAAGTAGGATACAAAACATTGGCTGCTGAAGGAAGAGAGAGGTGAGAACATGGGTCCAGCATTTCCATGGCATTTTCTCCTACAAACTAGACATGGTGTTTACTAGGAGCAATTCCAGATGATTTGCTAAAATATTTTAAAGTGTGGCCAAGAGTACCTTCCTCTCTAGAGCCCTGCCGTCCCTTTGGGCACTGGTGAGGTCATGCATGAGGCCTATGGAGCCCACCTCCTCTCTTCCATAGTCACCTTAATTCAGAGGCGACGTGTTAGGCCACTGTCTTCTCTTGTGCTGGCCCAGACAGATATCAATTTAGAAAATCAATATGGCAATGCTCTTGGGTGCCAGTGGATGCAATTATGCATCATTCGATAGACAATGCATAATAGGATTTATTTGTAAAAGGCCTGCTAGAAAACTAATTTAAAGCAAGAATTGAGTCTGGTGTCAGTCATTATTTGCAGTGTTTAGACACTGCTCATGCAACCCCTGTGGCTTTTTGTTTTTTTTTAACGTTGTTCTTTTGAGTAAAGATGGTGTTGGATGACGTGCCCTTGAACTAACACAAAAATCAAACCAAACTCACTGCCGTTGAGTCAATTCAACTCATAGCGACCCCTCCTTGGGTTTTCAAGGCAGTATGTCTACGGAAGTAGATTGCCTATTCTTCCTTCTGAGGAGTGGCTGGTGGGTTTTAACCGCTAGCCTTCTGGTTAGCAGTCAGGTGCCTTAGGCGCTACACCACCAGAGCTCCCTGAACTAACACAAGTAGGAAGAATTAGGAGTGAACTTATTCTGACTCATTTGTGCCTCTGTCCTTTGCAATGTGGTTGTGTTTATGGAACCCAGTGTTTACTCAGTTCCTCATACATATTTAATGAATGTTTGTTAGCAAAGATATTTCAAAGAAACAATGGTGGTGTTGTCCGCTAATGAATATTACAGGACCAAATCCTTCATCAATAAGGCATGAAGTTCAAATGGCTCCTTTCCAGCTAACGGGGTGAATTTGCACTCCGTCACCTAGGTTGCCCTGAATAATGATACATAATAGATAAACAGCAAATACTTATGCATAGTTTTACTAAAATATTATTTATGATTTGTCTGAAATTCATCTGAGTATTCCTTTCCTAGGGATACTGTAATGCAAATAGGACCAGTAGGTGGCTTCAAAGAAAAGAAATTTTTTTGTCAGAGTTCAGGAGGCTAGATGTCCAAATTTGGGGATGTTGCCTTTATGGGAACACCCTCCTTTTACTTTCAGCTTCTAGTAGCTGCGGGCAGCTTTCTATGCTCCTTGGCTTGAAGACAGTTCCTCAAGTGATCCCTTTCTCACATGTGCGTGCATGCACATGCATGTGCCTGCGTGTATGTGTGTACATGTGTGTGCACACCCATGTGCTCGTGTGCCTGTGTGTGCAAATACATGTGCATACATGCATGTGTGTGCGTGTGTGGGTGTATGCATCTCTGTGTGCGTGCATGCACGTGTATGTATGTATGCATATCAGTGTGCGTGTGTGCATGTGTGTGCATGTGTGTGCACATGCGTATACATGCATGTGTGTGCACATGTATGCGTGGATGTGTGTCTATTCTACTCTCTGGATCCACTCAGAAGGGATTGGGTTTAGGACCCACCCTACTTCAGTATGGCCTCATTAACATGACAAAAGAAAACCCCTATTTTCAAGCAGGGTCTTATTTACAGGTGCAGGGATTAGGACCTCCACTCCACTTTTCTGGGGACACAATTCAATCCGTGACCCTGGGCCTCCTGTGTTTTATATGGCAGTCTCCTTGTTGGGTGCTGTGGAGTCGATTCTGCCTCGTAGTGACCCCATGCACTCAGAACGCGGGGCTGCCTGGTCCTGCACCATCGGCACAATTGTTACTCTGTTTGAGCTCGTGGTTGCAACTACGTGTCAATCCATCTCATGGGCTTCCTCCCTTGTATTTTGAGTTCCTTCCAATCCGAGGCGTTACATACGTTATGTATTACCCCTCCAGCATAGTGCCAGTGTTCCAGTGTTATACATAAGCTTTTCACGGGCTAATTTTTTTTCCTCAGAATTAGATCACCAGGCCCTGCTCCCAAGTCTGTCTCAGTCTGGAAGCCCCACTGGAACGTGTCCACCATGGGTGACCCTGCTGGTGTGTGAAATACCAGTGGCACAGCCCCCAGCCTCCCAGCAGCACTCAAGCCCCCACAGCATGACAGGCTGGCAGGCAAGTGGTGCATAACTTACAAGGACTAATTATGCTTTCCATTTCTGCCCCCACACCCAGCTCAGAAGCTTAAGGAAAGTTCCCAAGAGTCTCTTGAATGGAAAAAGTCACTCCCCCGACCTGAAGAAACGGAATTTCGACGGAATTACCAGGTCCCAGCTAAAATGCCTGAGTGTCAGGATTTCAGTTTGAAATATGGCTGCTACTCAAGCCGGCCACGTGCTTCTCAGGGTATAGGTAAGGGTACCTGCAACTCCTAAAAGAACTCCACAGGTCACATCTCCTCACTCCAAAGTATCCAACACATGAGATGCTACGGGGTGAACGTGGTAAGTCTGAGAGAATGCCAATGATACTTACATGGAACCAAAACCATGCCTCTGTGGGGCCTAGCCTCAAACTCAGGGGACTGGAGGAACGGACTGCTTATGGTGTGCAGTGAGGTCATTTTCTGCCTGAGAAGGGCCATTGGTGGGATTAGGAGAGACATTCCCATTATAAAATGAAAGTCAAGATGTAAAAAACCCAAAAAACCCATTCCTGTTGAGCCTATTCCAACTCATAGCAATCCTGTAGACAGAGTAGAACTGCCCTATAGGTCTCCCAAAGCTAGAAATCTTTACAGACGCAGATTGCCACATCTTTCTCCCATGGAGTGGCTGATGGATTCAAACCATCAACCTTCTGGTTAGCAGCCAAGCGTTTAAGGGTTATAGCAGGGCCACTATAAAACCATAGTCGCCCACTGCCATCAAGGTGATTTCCAAGGCTGTCAGTCTTTATGGAAGCAGACTGTGCCATCTTTCTTCAGCGGAGTGGCTGGTGGGTTCGAATCACTGACCTTTTGGTTAGCAGCCAAATGCCTTAACCACTACACCACCAAAGCGCCTTATAGAACCATACTAGCCCCTTAGAAAACAAAGATTCTTTTCTTTAAGAACAATATGCAACAGGACTCTTCAGTCTGACCTTCTTCTGTAACTGACATCAAACCCAAAAAACCACACCCATTGCTGTGGAGTCGATTCTGACCCACAGCGCCCCTAGAGGACAGAGTGGAACTGCCCACAGGGTCTCCAAGGCTGTCAATCTTCACAGAAGCAAAGCCCAAA